TCTAATATTCTGGACAATTAGCTCATAAAATGTGAAGACTTTGTTGTACTTCTCAGGATGCATTATCCGGGTACCTTGAACAGCAATTATGAACACATATACTGGACACTTGTTATATGATGGGCTTAGAGCTAGTGCAATAGACAAAAGGTGAACAAGGCATGATTTATTGAGGAGGTCAATTCAATTACTTGCACATGATCAATAAATTCTTTATTTAGTAAGAAAATGGAGTGGGAGACAGGGATATAGCTCAGTAGCGCAGCACCTGCCTGACAATAGCAAGGCCCTGAGTTCGAATCCTGATGCCAAAAAAGAAAAAAGAAAGACCAAAAAAGGAAAATGGATTGGGACTCCAACAACCAGACCACATTGACTTAAGAGCACCGTAGAAGTTTGCTGAAAAGCTTTAAAGCATAGTATTAAAAACTTTAGCATGGTTCAAAAGCTAATCAGACAACAACATCTCCAACAATATATTAAAATCATCAAGGACCACTCTAGACTCACATTTTTTTAGACCAAAAATGTCTAAAATTCAACTGTCTACCACTCATTTTCTCCAACAAATGTGATTGTGTGCTACCAAATGGGGTAGGTTATTATCGCATTTTGAAAAATAAACTTGAAAAGTGATTTAAAAAATTGACAGCAACAACAAGAAAACGCATCCCTAGTTTAGAAGGTAAATTCAGTGGTGGATGCAGTGTTAACACACATATACTCAAGAAGAAACCTCTAAGAAAGGGATCACAGTGCAGAGTGGATTACCCATGGCCATATCCTTCCAAGGGGCAATGGGACCTAGACCTGTCACATGTATGCTACCACCATACACATAAGTGACTATGGGGGGATTGTGCCAAGCTGAAAGATAAGCAGTTTGTAGGCTCTGTGGGTCATGAGTATAGCGCAGCTACAAAATGTATCTCTGGGAAGATACATTTACATTGGGGGTCTCCTGTTCATGATTTTAGATGGATCGCTCTCCTTAAACCAGAAAAAAAGTTCAGTTATCCATGAGCACAATCACTAAGGATAAAGGCTGGAAAATTTGAGCCTGGGTAACTTAGCAACTTGGTGAGATCTCGTCTGAAAATTAAACTTGTTTTTTAAGCTAGAAAATGTAACTCAGAGTGAAGATCCTGGGTTCAATTCCCAGTACCACACACACACACACACACACACACACACACACACACACACACACACAGGGTGGGGGGGATACATGGATACCAGAAATTTCAGAAAAGGGATTTAGAATTAATGAGTCATAAAGACATAAGCCCTGAACAAGCATTCTATTACCAAATTGGTAATGGCCCTAGTCAGAAGTCAGATTTTTTTTTCAAATTTTAGCTCAGTACTTGTTAATAGACATCTCATGATTACTTTAATTAGTACCAGAGTTATTATGATGCTGTTCAAAACAAAAAAAAGTTAAAACCACTGCAACTATCTTAGTATGTTATGATAATAATGCTTTGTTTCTTGTTTTTGTAGATATCTATCTACCATGGCTTGTCAGAAATCTCTTCTCCTTATAGTCTCAGAGCTACAGGCCAGTGCAGCTGTCACCATGTCACGCACTGCTGGTCACCAAGCGGAGCAAAGTGTGCTCTTCTGTAGAGTCATGTTCTAGCAATCACACAATGTGGCCCAAAGTGACACAGTCCATCTCCACTCACCCCTCCTAGGATAGCACCAGTCATCAAATAGCCCCACCTAACCTCAAGGGCATCCTCCCACATGCCTGAAAAGTTAGAGAGCCAGAAATATGGATGCTTATTAACATTGATGACAGTGTCCAGTTCCAGCAGCTTAGAAAACCTCTGCCTAAGCACCATCAAATCTTCAGGAATAAAGAGTAAAGCTCCTACTCAGAGCCAGGCTGTGCAACAGCAACACATGGATCTCCTCATTTTCTGATTCTGGCCGCCCATCATGGCAGCCCACCATTTCCCTCTCAGCAAGGAGTTCAGAATTATAACTGTCTCCACTGATTGCAGAACCCACTGTGTAGATATGCTGTGCCTAGGTAATATATCAACTGGTACCTGCTGGTTGAGTAATTTCAGAGCAAGTTTTGCTACGATGGAATATGGCGTTAAATATGATTTGAAGTTCCAAACCTGTAAAGATGGGCTGCACATGCTTTGGGGAAGAGATAGTTGACCTAATTGTATGAAAAGGCCAGATGTAAGAAGTCAGAGGTGATGAAGGCCAAGCTGCCCTGTGAACACAAACTCTGAAAAAGTGGAGTATCTGTTCTGGATTCTTACACAAAATCTTAGTTTTGAATTTGGCCAACAACAACAAAAAAGGAACATGCATTGTAAAAATTATTCCTTGAGTTTAAAGACATACCTTATGAACCCAATAAAGCATATCTACAAGCAAAACTTCACCTGCAGGCTACCAATTTGCACCCTCGACTGGAAAATTTGGAGTTATTAATGGAGATCCCATGGGGCTGAGCATTCCCTGCTGGGCTCTGTGCTGGCACTTCAGGGGCCTGCCTCTGGGCTAATGATGAAAGGTGGACATAAAGCCACAGGCTGCAAGCATTATGCGGTGCTGATTTCGGATAGGGAAAGGAATGAGTGCTTACCCTCATGAGTGGGTAGGTAGTGAGAGGATTGGGGCTTACCGTCATGAACTAACAATTCTTCCAAACAAGCATACCCTAAAAATTTAAAGGACACTTTTTAGTAATAGCTATTATATCCCTTCAAACACAGGGAAATGACAACAACCTTTTGCTTGTAATATAGGGCTTTTCACCAAGGTTTGGTATTACCAACTAGTATTTTGGATTTTGTCTTATCCAATGGACTTTGACATGGTTTAGCCTCAGTTCCAAGCTCCTTCTCAGAATAGATGTATATAGAGCTTAGTAGTTTCAGGACAGAGACTATGGAAACAAATCAACTCTTCCCTATCTGAGTGACCTTCAGCAAGTAACTTCTCTCTTCTTTAATTTCCTTATCAGAAAAAATGATCAGAAAAAAAATGAGGATATTAACAGAGATAATAAACAGCCTTCTTAGCTTTGCCAGGAGGATCAAATGAGTCAGTCACACATGTAAAGTGTTTGGAATTATGACTGGCTTTTAGTAAACTCAATGAGAGTATTTTAAATTTCTCTTAACACTTTTTTTATTAACTCTGGGAACCTCCTGTGTTGTTACTCTTTGCTGAGAGAAAACATTTTCATTTTTTCCATCCAACAAATGCTGTCCTTGATGGCTATTCTTTGAATGTCATTCTAAGTCTTTCAAAGTGGAAGAACAGGAAATCTGTGGAACTGCAGTCCCTCTTGCTAGGATGGCCTTTCTTTTCTGGGGAGTTTGATTTCACAATGCAGTTCTGGTGAGCGTGCTTCTTGGAAAAGAAGCATCTTTCTCCCTTTTCCCACACCCTGCCCCTCTGCAGACACTTTCAAATCCAGTTGAGCACCAGTCAGTTAGCAAAGCAAACAGTGCTTTCTTGGCAGGGGATGTCTGGGGGCTGTGTGGTGTTTTGACCATATGCAGCCATGGCAACAAGAGATGAAGTGTATGGGTCATTGGAATGCTTTTAACTCATGCTTCCTGTGGCAGAGACTGCTAATTGCTTCTCGGTGTCCTTTCTCCCTTTCTTTTTAAAGAAAGTTTTAGCACAGCACATCATTGCCCCACTAAAACACTTCCTTCACAGCTTTCTGTTGTCCTGTGAGAGTTTTGGCTGAGGAGCTGTAATCAGGAATGCTGTGTGTGTGTGTGTGTGTGTGTGTGTGTGTGTGTGTGTGTGTGTTTCAATGAATTGTTAAAGGGATAGTACCAATCTTTCCTTCAACCTTCCTTCTGCCATGATGCCTTAATGTGAATATAATGGTTGGAGCTTCAGAAGCTATTTTAGATTATGAGGTTTAAGATAGCAATTCTCAAAGTGTAGACAGAAAGAAAAAAAAGCATTTTTCATAAGATTCATAGGACTCTCCCTTTTCCAGTCACATATACACAGGAAGCCTAGACTTTTCTACGTATTTCAACCAACACAATATATTCCAATAGATTGCATGCAGTAGCAGATAGGAGATTTCAATTATTCTCTATTAAGCTAGATAGGGATTTGTAGAAACATAAAAGAATGTTACTTTCTTACTAGTTTTCTGTTTTAGAAAATATGATTATTGCTGGGGGTGGTGGCGCATGCCTTTAATCCCAGCACTTGCGAGGCTGAGGAAGGAGGATTGCTATGAGCTCGAGACCAGCCTGGGCTACATAGTGAGTTCCCGGTCAGTTGGTCAGTCTCAACTACATAGTGAGACCCTGTCTCAAAAAAACAAAAAAAAGAAAATATGATTATTTTCATAAACCTGTTATTGTTAACATGCAATAGATTTAGTATTGTTTTAAATGAATTAAATAAATATGTAAAATATTTTCAATTATAATTTCTAAAATGGTAACCCACATAAAGAAAAATTTGTTCAGGTGAGCTCAGTAATTTCTTAAGGATGTTAAAAGGATCCTGAGAATAAAAGGCTTGAAAGATGATGTAGTCTCACACTCTCGGAATAACATAGAAATGAGCTACAAAACCTCAGTTAGTGTCAACACTTCCTTTTTGTGAGCAAAAACTAAACATCTAATATATGTAAGTCAGTATCTTTGGTGGTATTTTTGTAATGTAAAGCCAGACTAACTTTTTTTTTGAACAGACACATCTCTCTTCTGTAATTTGGATTCAGACTGTGGCTAAGAGCACAAAACTGATGAAAAGCTGAAGGTATTTGGTGGAAACCTCTTGTGAGAGCCCTGGTTTGAACAGGACAATGTGACACAGACAGTCCTAGTTCCTTCTATGTATGGACTGTCACAAACATCTCAGTTTAGGTTTTGCAGAATCCCTGCATCCATTAGCCCTTCCTGACCCCAGACCTGGTGTTAAGGTAATAGACTTGGCCCCGTATCCTGGTACTGGGGTAGGCAGAGTGGGACTAGGGAGATGCGGGAATGTCTGAGGATAAGGTTGAGTCTTGTGGCTTCCAGGAGCCCTTGGTGGGTGTCCCAAGTTGGGGCTGTGTCAGGCGACGTAAAGGCCATGCCAGAGGGAAAGCTGCCCTCAGTCTCCAAGGTACCTCCTCTGCACTTCCTGCCTTCACAAAGACACACCAAAAATCCAGTTGCTGGTCACTGCCAAGAAGTAACAGACACAGACTCTAGGCCAGTGGGAAAGGAGGACACACCCAAGGAAATTTTGGAGACAAGAATAGCAAAAATGTCTGAAAGGGCAGGCAAAACCTACTTTATGACCCCAAAAGAGAGGCTCTGGTCTGCCTTGTGAAGCACATACAATGCCACTCTATAATGGAAGTGGGATCAAAGTGGACTTCCTGGAATTCACAGTCTTTAACCCATCATATCTACAATTCAACTTGTTGCTGGATTTAAGTCTGTTTTTTTTGTTGAACACTCTGGAAGCAGGATTTTTTTTTTCTGTATTTGCAAGTCTACTTTAAGTACTACATTTTAAGTTAAAACTCTCCTGAGAATAATATAGCCAATTTGCTTGTTTTATGACCCACTTTAAAGTGCATCTAATCACTGTATTTCCACCCTATATAACTTTTCTTCTCTTTGTTTATTTTACTGTAAAGAAATGACTTCTCAGTTTGTCACTCTACTCCAGCACTCATCCTTCTGGTTCACTGGAACAGGTGGGAAATGCCTTTCTGTGTCCAGCCTGTTTCCAGCAGCCAAAGAGTCACCATGCATCATCCCCAGAGACAACTCATGAGGTCCTCAGAACATCAAATGGGCATAAGTAAATTATTTAGAAGAGATAAATTAGGCAGTAGTTAGAATACTCAAGTGTAGTAAGTTTAATTGATTACGAGCTGTTTCCAAATTATATAGTAAACTGAAAGAGCATATCAATGGGGAGATGTCTGAATTGCCTGATTGCAAGAATGTACAGTACTTTAAAAATGTGTTTAGATGATTGATTTCCTGAATAGCTTCCCTGTAAAGAGGTTCGTTTGTCCCCACTAAAATGGAGCCATAGCACAGGGCTATTGTATGCATCACAAAAGCATCCCCAAAGATCTCAGCTGGAGACACCAACCCTGGTCTTCCCTGGAGGCTGCACTGGAACTCTGGAGCCTGGAACTGGGGAGCTACTGCTTCATTCTTCTCCAGTTTCTGTACTGATGACCAGAAGACAACACATGCAGTGTTAGGTTATGTAGGTTCCTAATCATGCATCCCCACAATAGACCCCGTAATGTCTAGGACACAGAGGTTGTGGACAGCAGGAATGAAGTGTGTATATGTCCATGTTTTTCTGTGTTGTGCAGCAGACTGGAGCAGCAGGACTTCTGGGCTAAATAAGGACTAATCATGCTTTCTTCCATCCTTCTGAGAAAACTTCAAAATAAATGTCCAGAATATAGTGGACTTTCCACTATTAAGTAAGGGGATGAAAAAAGTCATAGTAACAATGTTTTTAATTCAAGAGAAAAACACCATGCTACCTCTTAGATGTGAGGAGACAGAAGGCAAGAGAGGATCAGTGACTTTGCCCAATGCCATAAATCTGGTTAATTGGTAGTAAAGCCAGCCTTACACCTACTTCTCAGGGCTCATATCTAGGGCTTGTGTCCCTATGCCACTCCACCAAGGTTAGCCAATAACAACAACACTGTCAAGGGATTCTGAGCACACATTTCATGTGTCCTCACAACACTAATCATAACTTACTAAAATTATCAGTGGATTTATTTCCCCCATTAAATTGTAAGCTTGTTTAAATAGGAACTTGGTATAATGCATATTTGCCTCTCCTGGGCATGGACCCAGAACTGGGTCTTACACACAGTAGGCTCTTAATAACATGTGAAGAACATTCATATTCATTTTGAATCTGTCCTGATCATTCTAATATCAAGAGATAAAGAACTGGAGAAATATATTAGTTAGAGCTCAGCCAAAGAAACAAAAACCTTTCTCCACCTTTGCAGGGATACTTGAATAGAGAAAGCAGGTTGCACAATAGGGAAGGGCTGGGAAGACAAACAGGATGGTGAAAGACCTCAGAGTTTGTGAACAGCAGAAAGATGGAGGGAAACTGGGGGGACATGGTATCCTAGGGGTATGCAATGGGAGGGATCCAGGAAGGACAGTCATGGTGGAGATGGTTCCCAAGTTGGTGATCCCACAAGAAACATGCCAGTAGAGCATGAGGTAAAATCTGACTTCTCTCCTTCTGTCTCTACACTTTCTCAGTAAAGAGAGATGGGCAGATGGAGATAATCATGGAAGCCTGGTCTACTCTGACAGGGCTTGTAGCTGCTCATTCACCCTGGGTGTAACAGACCCTTTAAGACCATTCAGCGCTGGGCAAGGTGATGCACTTGACAGGCTGGGGGAGGAGCACAGCCATGAGTTCAAATCCTGCCTGGATTACACAGTGAGTTCAAGTTCAGCCTGATCTGCCTACCAAGATTATCTCCAAAAGAAGGCCATTGACTTGCCTTTGTGCTAATTCAGTCTTCACCAAATAGTTCTGAAACCTCCAACTTTGGTTCTGCTTCCATGTAGTTATCTCAACCAAAAGGATAAAGAAATTTCTCTTTAAGTAACTGGCTAAGTGATCCAGGAAAAAGTTAATCTGAGCTACTGAAATGTGACCATTCAGGGCTTTACTTCTCTGTAAATTAAGAATAAGGAAACTAAAACTTTTTTTTCCCTACTGGAATTGAACTCAGGACCTTGCACTTGTCAGGCAGGCACAGTGCCACTGAGCTAAATCCCTGGCGCACAAACATTTTTGATTGATACAAGTAAAGCATATATTCAAATATTAGCAGGTAGGGCTTGTATGTTGATGAGGGAAGATGGGCTAGGATAACCTGCCAGAAAGAGTCCTGGAGTTGTGTGGACCATTTTATAAGTTCCATGCTGGTATCACATTTTACATCTATACCTTTCTCTTCCCCTTTTTGAAGAAAAAGAAAATAATGTTGCCTTACAGTCAGATATCCTGGCCTAGGATTAGGAAGAAGATACAGAAATAAAAGGAGAGAGATGTAAAGCTCCTTTGATCTGAGCCTCTACTTCCTCCTGTGCCTCAAAGTCCTGGTCCTCTTATCTGAGAATGGACTTCCAGAAAGAACTTGCTCTACTGCCTGATACTCGGATATGTGCATAATTAAATTTGTTGATTTCAAAAGCTACAACAGAAGCTGACAGATGAGGGAAAAATGCTGCAGGCCATATGAAACTGAGATTAGCATCTCTTTGGGACAAGGTGCCCCTGCTCCCAAGTCTGGCTGATACCCACATTACATTGGTATATGCTAGATGCTATCTAGAAACTATTTCTGGTGCTCTTAGGAATGATACTGGGGAAGGAGAATAGGTTCAGTTTTGGGAAATCCATTTTATAATGTGGAAGGGTGAAATGTCAATAAGGTTTGAAATTTATTTTTAAATTATTCAGCACAAAATTAAACCAAAGATATCAATAATAATGAAAAATAGAAATGAGAAGACACTTAAACAAGATGCAAACCCACACTTCTAGATCACCTAAGGGAAATCTAGGGGACAAAGACATGGAGTAACTCGAAACTCAACCACACAGACTCCCTGAATTGGCAATGAGAGGATCGGCAAAAAATGAAATCAGAAATAATCTCTCAGTTAAAAACACAGATCGTAATCATAGTGAAAGACACAATCAATATCTCCAGAAAAAACACAGATAAAAGAAAATAGAGGCACTCAGGAACATGATGGAATCCATGGAAGTCCAGCATAGGAGGCAGGCGGTGGAACCACTGAGCCAAATCCCTGGCCTTGGTCCAGCATAGGAAAGGAATAGAATTCATAAAACAGATTCAAATAGATATCCAGGAGATTAATAACTCCACTGAAAATAAACACAACAGAATGATCCAGTGTGAGAATAGTATGTCAGATATAGATGAGAGGATTGGGGTTAGTGACCAGGAAAAGAAAGATTTTTCAAAAATATCAAGGAACTCCAAGAAAATAATCCAGAAGCTACTAGATGATGCAAAGAAGAATAACGTAAGACTAGTCAGAGTCAACAAAAAAGCAGCAGATAGTGCGAATGACATTAAAAAAAATGTTCACAGAAGTAATGGCAGAATTGGTTTCATCACAGGGAGGCAAAGATGGTTCAACAGATGCAATAAATGTAATACACTATATTAAGAGAGCCAAGGACAAAAACCATATAATTATCTCAATAGATGCAAAAAAATTGACAAAAATCCAACACCCATTTATGATAAAAACCCTACATAAAATTGGTATAGATGGTCCTTATTTCAACCTGATGAAAGTCATCTATGATAAAACAACAGCCAACATCATACCAAATGGTCAAAAATTGAAATTTTCACACTAAAATGAGGAACAAGACAAGGATATCTACTATTACTACTCCTGTGCAATATAATCCTGGAAACTTAGCAACAGCAATTAGACAAGAAAAAGAAAAAGAAAAAAAGAATAAAGATAGGAAAGGAAGAAGTTAAACTGTCATTATTTGCAGATGATATGATACTCTATATAAAGGACTCCAAAAACTCTGCCAAAAATCTCCTAGATTTAATACCTAGTAGAGTAGCTGGATACAAGGTGAACACTCAAAAATCAATAGCCTTCTTGTACATGAATAACAAACTTACTGAGAGAGAAATTGGGGAAACAATTCCCTTCACAATAGATCCCCAAAAATGAAATATCTAGGAATCAATCCAACAAAAGAATTTAAAGACCTCTAGTTTGAAAACTACAGCACACTTTTAAAAGAGATCAAAGGGGGTATCAGAAAATGGAAAGACATATCTTGTTTCTGCTAGGAAGAACCAATATAGTGAAAATGGCCATATGTCCAAAACTGCTATACAGATTCAATGCATCTCAATTGAAATCCCAACAATATGCTTCACTGAACTAAGTAATTTATTTTTAAATTATTCAGCACAAAATTAAACCAAAGATATCAATAATAATGAAAAATAGAAATGAGAAGACACTTAAACAAGATGCAAACCCACACTTCTAGATCACCTAAGGGAAATCTAGGGGACAAAGACATGGAGTAACTCGAAACTCAACCACACAGACTCCCTGAATTGGCAATGAGAGGATCGGCAAAAAATGAAATCAGAAATAATCTCTCAGTTAAAAACACAGATCGTAATCATAGTGAAAGACACAATCAATATCTCCAGAAAAAACACAGATAAAAGAAAATAGAGGCACTCAGGAACATGATGGAATCCATGGAAGTCCAGCATAGGAGGCAGGCGGTGGAACCACTGAGCCAAATCCCTGGCCTTGGTCCAGCATAGGAAAGGAATAGAATTCATAAAACAGATTCAAATAGATATCCAGGAGATTAATAACTCCACTGAAAATAAACACAACAGAATGATCCAGTGTGAGAATAGTATGTCAGATATAGATGAGAGGATTGGGGTTAGTGACCAGGAAAAGAAAGATTTTTCAAAAATATCAAGGAACTCCAAGAAAATAATCCAGAAGCTACTAGATGATGCAAAGAAGAATAACGTAAGACTAGTCAGAGTCAACAAAAAAGCAGCAGATAGTGCGAATGACATTAAAAAAAATGTTCACAGAAGTAATGGCAGAATTGGTTTCATCACAGGGAGGCAAAGATGGTTCAACAGATGCAATAAATGTAATACACTATATTAAGAGAGCCAAGGACAAAAACCATATAATTATCTCAATAGATGCAAAAAAATTGACAAAAATCCAACACCCATTTATGATAAAAACCCTACATAAAATTGGTATAGATGGTCCTTATTTCAACCTGATGAAAGTCATCTATGATAAAACAACAGCCAACATCATACCAAATGGTCAAAAATTGAAATTTTCACACTAAAATGAGGAACAAGACAAGGATATCTACTATTACTACTCCTGTGCAATATAATCCTGGAAACTTAGCAACAGCAATTAGACAAGAAAAAGAAAAAGAAAAAAAGAATAAAGATAGGAAAGGAAGAAGTTAAACTGTCATTATTTGCAGATGATATGATACTCTATATAAAGGACTCCAAAAACTCTGCCAAAAATCTCCTAGATTTAATACCTAGTAGAGTAGCTGGATACAAGGTGAACACTCAAAAATCAATAGCCTTCTTGTACATGAATAACAAACTTACTGAGAGAGAAATTGGGGAAACAATTCCCTTCACAATAGATCCCCAAAAATGAAATATCTAGGAATCAATCCAACAAAAGAATTTAAAGACCTCTAGTTTGAAAACTACAGCACACTTTTAAAAGAGATCAAAGGGGGTATCAGAAAATGGAAAGACATATCTTGTTTCTGCTAGGAAGAACCAATATAGTGAAAATGGCCATATGTCCAAAACTGCTATACAGATTCAATGCATCTCAATTGAAATCCCAACAATATGCTTCACTGAACTAAGAAAACAATCCAAAAATTCATTTGGAACCAGAAGAGACCTAGAATAGCCAAAGCAATTCTAGGCAACAAAGACAAGTCAGGGGGTATCACAATTCACAACTTGAAACTATACTACAAAGCCACTGTGATATGTCATGGTATTGGCAAAGAAATAGACCCGAGGAGCAATGGAACAGATTAGAAGATGCAGAAACAACTCCAGAGGTACTCAGCTACCTCATCTTTGACAAAGGAACCAAACATCCTCACAGGAAGAAAGATAGCCTCTTTAGTAAATGGCGTTGGAAAAACTGGGTCTCAACCTGGTAAAGATTAAAATTATAACCATATCTTTCACCATGCATTAAACTAAAATCAAAATGGATCAAAGATCTAAATATTAAAACAGAAACACTAAACCTGCTGGAAGATAAGTAGAACTCTTGAAAACATTAGCATAGGAAAAGACTGTGAACAAAACTTCAGTTGCACGTGAACTAGCACAAAGAATCAACAACTGGAATCTCATGTTATTAAAAAGCTTCTGCACAGAAAGAGAATCCACCAACAGAGTGAAGAGACAACCTACAATGTGGGAAAAAATTTCCACTAGCTGTTCTGCAGATAAAGGGCTACTATCTAGAATATATAAAAAACTTTAAAAAATCAGACCCGCTAAATTTAAAGACCTAACCAAAAATGGGCATTGGAAATGAACTGACATTTCTCTGACGAAGAAGTAGAAGCAGCAAATAAACATATGAAAAAAATGGTTACTGTCACCGGTCATTCAAGAGATACAGATGAAAACAATACCAAGATTCCATCTCACTCCAGAAAAAAATGGCTGCTATCAAGAAATCAATTAACAGCAAATGCTGTGGGGACTGTGGGGAAAAAGGAACTCTTCTCCCCTGTTGTTGGGAATGTAGACTAGTGCAACCACTATGAAAATCAGTTTGGAGATTTCTCAAAGAACTAGGATTAGAAGTCCCTCTTGACTATTCCTCTGCTGGGTATTTTCAGAAAAGATTTAAAAGTATCATACCACGGCTATATATGGGCACCCACGTTTATAGTGGCATAATTTGGTACTGGGAATAGAACTTGGGACCGTGCACTTGTGAGGCAGGCAGTGGAACCACTGAGCTAAATCCCCAGCCCACCCACATCTTCTTTATCCAGTCACCAGTTGATGGGCTGTTTCCAATATTTAGCTACTACAAATTTAAAAAAAAAAAAAAAAAAAAAAAAAAAAAAAAAAAAAGCTTATGTCAATTGTTTTCTTTTATAGAGTGGAGTACTACTCAGTCACAAAGAATGATAAACTACAGGCATTTATAACCAAAGGGATGCACATTGAGGCCATATTCTTAAGTGAAATAAATATGACAGATGTGTAAATACCAAATATTTTCTCTGGTGTGAGAAGTATAACAGACAATATAAAATAGGAAGAAAGGTCCAAAGGGAAGGGGAGGTCAAGAGTGGGTGGGGAAAGGAAAGAAAGGAAGGAAAAATTATGAGATAAGAAGGAAAAAGAAAACAAAAGTTTTGTAAATAGGGAGGGGTAGAGGGGTGGAAGGGAAATGGGGGAAAAAAACAAGAACCAAGATTATCATTTACAGGTACAAATTCCCAATGATGAATGTGATTATAATGTATACCTAAAATGTACCAATAAACTTAATGGAATTTTTAAAAATTCAGCAAAACTATCAAATACATCCATACAAATATATACATGTACTATATATATATGCCTAAATGATACAAATATGAAAAATGTTAATAATTCAGAAATCTGTGTGATGAGTAGTTTTTATATTTGAAGCTTTTGTGATAAAAATTGGGAAAAATAACTGCTCTCCATTTGGTAGTTCTAATTTTATCAGCAATTAATCTGAAATTATTATAACTCTTGAATTTGATAAACTCAAACCAACTACCTGAGGTCTAAATGAGATAGAAAAACTGACTTTCTAAATCTAATGAGCTTGAATAATCAAACCCTTGACTGGAGATACCATGATTAGCCAATTATTGAGACCCCCCAAAACACTATCATATCCCAACTTCTCTGTTATGATTTGGGTCAAAAATTTCCTTCAAAGGGCTCCTGTGGGGCTTGTAGGAGGGTGTTAATCTCATCCATGGGTTAATGCAATGATGAATTTATAGTTGAAAGTGCTATTAGGAGGGGGAAACTGGTTGGAGGAAGTAGGTCACTGGGCGTGTCTTATTGAAGGCTGTGTCTTTCCTCTGTTATTGAGATTAGCGGATCTCCTCTGCTATGCCATTCTTCTATGATGTCCTGCCTTGGAGCCAGCCAAGCATGGACTGAAACCTCTGAAACCATGAGCACAAAATAAAACTTTTCTCCTTTAAGTCGTACTTATGTCAGGTAATTTATCCAAGCACTGGAAAGGTGGCTGATACATACTCCAATAGGAGTGTCTGTAATACTGACTTTGATACAGGGTAGTGCTCTCAGCTGTTTTTTGTTTTGTTTTTTTTTTATCCGCTAGGCCTTTAGGTACCTGCTCTGAACCCTGAGCTTGGGGCATAGGCATAGTCTGCCCCCAAGAAGTTTCCAGACCATAGAGGATATGAACAAATGTGGATGGTGAAGCAGAACCAGGGAGCACAAGGACAAGAGGGTGAACAAAGAAAACCAACTATCAATGGAAAACACAAAGGTGAAATTCAAAAGACAGCATATGAGTTAAGAGTGCTGTCAAGAAAGGCCCGCTGCATGCAAGGGGTGCTCATGTAAGGAGGCTAATGAAGGAACGGCCTAGAAAAGGGTGAGCAGAGTAAAGGAAACCAAAAACAGTTGGTAAAGCTGCTGACTGTGGACCCATTAACATCCCAGGCCTATAAGGGGCAAGAGAAAGGGGCACCTACTAGAACTCAGAGAACACATTTGTGGCTTTCAATAGGAGGATGTCTGCAAACTGCAGTGACCCAATAGGGAGGGAGCTAAGAGACAGGCACTTGACTCTAAGTTGCACCCCATGTCTCTTATAGATGCCTCCCACTGGCCAAGCACAAGAGGACTGAAGAAGACAGATAGCTCTTATGAGACAGTCCTTGAAGATCAGTCTCCAGACAGGGGGCTGGGCAATGAAGGTCAGGGTAAGCAATGTGGTTTCACAGTGCATAATGGTGGAGCTGGGCCTTGAAACAGGTTAGGGAAAAGGAAGGCAGAGATGTCTCTTATTGGAATAAAAAGGCCATGCTGGACAGAAGAACCAGTGTGACACAAGTCAGAAAGAAGCCTATATGCTTAGAAGTTGCAGGATGCTCAGAACAAGCTTAAATCTATTCTACCAATAGAAGAAAGGAATTTGTCGTAATTCTGTCTCTCTTCTTCCATCCCTCCCCTCCCCTCTCTAATTTACTCTCCCTCAGGTTATCTTTTATCATTATGGCATTATTATGTATGCAAAAATACATGGGTTTTAAATTCCTCTATAACAGGAGGCACCATTCTCTTTAAAGTTTTTTTGTTTTGTTTTGTTTTTTTGCCCTGGAGTTGTTGGTTTGGTGTTCCTTTGCATGTGTCTTGTGTTCCTCCTGGATTTTAAACTTCCTGGAGGCTGCAATGAGTGCCCTGCATATTGTACATTATGATAGATATTTAATGACTGATTGATTCATAGGCAGGATAAGACTTGCATTCCTGTTCTTCTATAAGAGAGAAATGTAGATGGCTCTATGAGAACGGATCAACCCTAATACTAATAGATTGAAGATTATTTATAAATAAAGGGATCTTATACAGTGATTTCTAATCTATTTAAATATGAAGAATTTTCCCTGTGTGTAGAGTATCTTTATGGAGTCTACATACTAATAGGTTTGTACATACAAATATACACTAATTAAATAAAGTTTTCCTGAATTCATATATGTTTATAATTTATTAATCAAAGTGTCCACATTCATTCAAAAATAGTTGAATGTTTTATTCAGTAATCTGATGCTTGGAGTCCACTTGAATCTTAGAAATCTTTACAATAAGTCCATAATTAAGAATCTTCCAGATAATTGTGACAGATACTCTGCTCAAATTTACATAAGCAAAAAGGGCATTAATTAAGTAATTAATTAATGAGACATTCAAGCAGTGACACTAATTTTAAACAAGACCCAATCCAGGCATTCAACTGATGAACCCATTTTCTTCTCTCCCTCTCTCCATCTGAGAATTTGCTTTCTCCCTTATTGGCTTCACCATCCAGCTTGTTTTCCGGTGCTGCTGGTGGCAATGAATTCTGTAGAAGTTCTGTTCTTATAGCCAGTGAGCCAGGAAAAGGAAAACAATCCCTTTCTCACTCTGCTTCTATGTCTGTCTTCGACTGTGGGCTTGCACTGTCAGTGACTGAGTTCAATGCTCACCTCATCCCAAAACAGCACCCAGGGAGAAAAGTCCTGATTTGTCATGAAAGATATGTGACCATCACGTGAGGGAGGGGAGAGGTGGGGAATACAGCTAGGGCTTGATCACTCACAAATGGCAAAAGTGCTGGGTAGTCTAAATAATAGCAGATAGGTGTTACTGCAGTTCACAGACTGTGCATAATTCTCCCTGCCCTTTCTTTTCTTCCTTTTCCTCATTGATTTATGCAGGTTTCACAAACATCCAGTATATGCCAGATACTACTGAAAGTCAGACTAGTGAGTGATAAAGCCTAGGAATGTTTACTTGCAAATTGCTCCCAAAATAACATTACCCCTATTATATCTCTATTGCTTGTTTTACCTTTCCTGTATATACATTTATTCATTTAGCCAATAGTTTCTGAACAAAAAAATTGCTATATAAATGATGAATGTGACTCTAAGATCCAAAATGATTTTTGTTTTCATTTATTAACATCCAAATAAGTTTATTCTAAAACAGTTCATAACATTGTAGCCATCCAAAATAAATGCTCATAATTATAGTTATCTGCTGATATTAGAGCTATTTCAGAAGATGTAAAACGATTTTTACCAAAAAGAAAGACGAGAGTGATCTTTATGTCCATTTTTAGTAACTTTGTATTATAAAAAACCTCAGTCTCTTATACTATAAAACATTTAAGAGATGATTTTTAGTCTTCAGTAATTATGTTGTACCTTTATTATAGTCATGAGAAGGTTTTAAAACAGGGTTTTCTTTACAAAATTGTGTAGTTTGTACATAAGAATGTGTTATAATATTTGAATTTTAATGTCTTAATACACTTTTTAATTTAGAGAAGAAAAACTGTACTCTCTTGATCTTTTTAATATTCTGTTCTCCTATTGGCCACCTATCCTCAAACTTCCTCCATATTTGTTGGAATTATCTGAGCAGGTGGAGGTGTGGAAATGCCAGCCAGTCAGAAAGCAGAATATTAAAAAGGTCAACATCATACAGATTTCTGCTGTAATTCATAAAGACATTAAATACCCAATATTTCATCTCAGGACCAAGACTGTAATGAGAACAGAAAATGGCACAACATTAATTCATCTTCTGACAAATATTGTAATGAGAAAGGAAGTATACAGGCTACAAATATTTGGTTGCCATTTAAAAGATACCTTATATCTTTTATAATGTAATGAGAGTAAATTTATACTTCCTGAAGTTGAGTTCTCTGACTAAATACTTATTGTCTTTTTAAATTAAGAGAAGTCCCTTGAGAACATACTGAAATTAGCCAAATTCCCCAAGAGAACTACAAATATTACCAGTTTAAAAGAAATAAATATAAAAGACATTCATTATAGAATTATGAATGAATTGAAGTTCTATTTTGGCTAATATTTCACTATCATGAAAGTAGTTGAACTCATTAGAATTTTCTTACCTATTTATTTATTTTGGTAATGTGGATCAAACTCGGATCCTTGCACTTAGAAGGCAGGTGGCGGAACCACTGAGTTAAATCTCTGGCCCTCTTACCACTTTAAATGGCTATGTCCTTACTACTGTCGTATAAAGGTAGCCCCAAAATAAAATAGGGTTCTTCAGTGACTGTCTTCCCTATTAAAAAATTTTAATTATAGCTCATATATTCAGATGTGGAGAGAACCCAGGGAAAGAATGAGTTCAAATCAGGTCACAAGCCCCTGAATTTTGCTGTCTTCTTTCCTTTTTTAAAATTTTATTTTGTGTGTGTGTGTGTGTGTGTGTGTGTGTGTGTGTGTGTGTATGTGTGTAAGGTAGGAGGCAAGATAACCTGAGTCTTTTGGACTCTGAATCCAACTTTGATAATTTTACTGAAAGCACTGATGCAGAATCATGAACAGGAGTCAGGGAGCTGAAGCCAGAGATGAACAAAGGCAAAAATGCATTGTGCCTCCAGGCAGAAGGGCAAGGAGAGAAACAGTAACCCAAGCCCAGAAAGATCTGGAGTTCTGGCTGAAGAGTTGGCAGTAAAACCTTAGTTATGGAGGGGGAAAGTAACCACCAAACCAATGACACAAAGCAGGGAGAGGGTAGGGAACAAATACTGCCAGCTTGATCCTCCTGCATGTCCATGACCAGAAGTCGGTTTAGGAAATCCCTGGTGATAGAGGTACCAGAGTTGGGCTGCCTGCCTCCAAGAAGGACAGAAAGGAAAAGACAGGCAGGGAACATGTGGGCAGTAAGCAACAGAGATATTGTGAGGATCTTAGGAGATTTGCCTAAGACCCCATTAGAGGGCTCTTAAACTAGCACACTAGAAGGAGGCAGGAATGGCTAGAGAAAAAAATGGAGAGACTGAAGGAAAAGGAAATCCGATATTGCTCTCTGGAATGCAATAGAATTTTGGTAAAGCTATTTGTGTTATAATATTATTTGGAAAACTGCCTTAAATGATGTTAAAATATAATAAACTTGCCAAAGCCCTATAAAAAATATCTCCTGACACATTCATTTTGAAGTGAAATATTACACCAACAGATTGTGAACTATCTTTGGTCTCTCTCTCTCTCTCTGTCTCTCTCTCTCTGTCTCTCTCCCTCTCTCATCATCATTATCCCCCTTTAAAATATGGCATTCCAAGTTCTTTAATATTCAACCAGATCTTAGTATAGAATGAATCCAATTAGACTGTTAATGACTTGTTAATAAGAGTGCAAGCAATGCCTGCCTTTAACCATAGCTTATTTACTACTAACACATATCATCTGGTGATTCTAACGACTGCCTTTCACCCACTGGATCCTGGAGTGCTTTATGAACTAGGAACACAGGAATAGCTGAAATAGAGCTCTCTCTGGGGTAGAATAAGACAGCTGTTAGCCTTGCAGAAATGTTGCACAACAGCCTGAGTGGAAACCAGGGAAGGGTTCTCAATCTAATTGAAACTGCAAGAAGAATTTAAGTTGATGGACTAATTGCTGAGGCTGGCATTTATTAAACAAAACAAAACAAAACAAAATCAGGGCTTTTTCTCCTTTGGCAATGAGTGGCCCAGCAACTTAGTTCCATTTAATAGATCTGTTGCTTCCATTTAAGAGATGAGGAAACTGAAGTTCATGGGCACATATCATGCTACAGAGAACTGGATTGTGATGCATGCCCTTTGAGTTTCTGGTTGCTATTTATCTTCTGAGTCACATGGCAAACAAGAGCACCATCTGCAAAGCAATGACTTAGCACCACTGTGAGAGAAAGAGCACACCCGTGGTGTGCACATCTTTGCAGAAATTGGGAAGGTCGCCATGTGACTTTGACTCAACTTGACCCTGCTTAGCTCAGGAGCTCATTCAAGTTACAAGAGCTGGAGGCGATAAAAATGCAAAATACTTTTATGCCTTTAAGAAACAGCAGATCATGACTCAATGAAACTTAAACTGATTAGTTTTCAGCGGGCTCCTCTTTCCGAACACTTCTCACATGCTGGAATGTCACATTAATTGGTTCTTAATTGAACAATGTGCTTCCAATTTTCAAAACCCAGCAGAGTATAAAACAGAAGAAGTCAGGCTCTTGCTCTGTGGAATAGCAAGTCATATGGGTAAAGATACAGTTCATAAGGATTAAACTCTTGCAGAGCTTGGAAGCTGTCACACAAGCACTTCACCAGGCACCATGAGGAGCTGTAGCTCTTCAGATTTTCAGTTTCTAGATGGGAACCAGTTTAATGTACTTATTCGGAGGAGAGCCTGATCCTGGGGGTATAAGAGGATGACTAAAACTTCTTCAGTTGCTTGATTTCTGGAAAACTGAGATTGTTAAATGCAGCTGTGTGTTGTATGTGGTTAATTATTATGTCCTCTGTAAATAAATAACCTGATCTTAATTTGTGTACTTCAAATCAGACATTGTTGGGTGGTAGTTGGTTAAGTCCTAGACAAGAGAGTTTCTTATCTGCAATTAAATTTAGGCCAAAAAGTCTACTTCCCACCTGAAATTAAAAACCTGTTTGTTCATGTTCTCTCTTTGGAAACATTCCATGTACAGGCAAGTTTATTTTTTCAGTTCTGAAGAAATATTATTTTTAAGCAGGGTTTGTGTTTTGAATTCATATGTGTGAAAAGTCAGAGATGGAGGAATGAAAGTTGGTTTCTGGCAACAAATAAATGTTTTAAAAATTTGTCACGTTTCTGAGCCCCATCCCCAGTCCTGGACTTGGGGAGGGAAAATCAGGCAGAGTTCCTAGATCGAGATACTTAAGAGTTTGATCTTTATTTTCTTTCAGTCATATCTGTATTATACTTATTCATCTTAAATGAAAGAAAGGTTTTTCTAATTGCATGCTTAAACATGGATCATTCATCAAGGTTGGGCTATTTCTACCTCTTGCATCAGAAGTCAAAACTAAACTCTTTCTCCCCCTTGCATCATAAACAGTCTCATGTACCTCTTCATTAACAATTTCCTGCTCCTTTCCTTCTCATGGTTGTTGTAAAAGTAGATAGAAAAGGTAAGAAACAGTCCACGAGAGAGTGCTATTTTAACCACAGTGTCTCTGATGATATTGTGTGTGTTATGATGATATTAATATATTTTGGATTAGGATACTGTGCAATTATAATAAAAATCCCCTTTAAATCAATCCCCAATAAATCAAATACAGTTATTGCTCATCATTAATAACAAATCCTTGCAGAATTACCTCTTAAAAAACACAGTCTGGAATAAAGGTCAACCAAATGTGTGTGTAAGAAATAGTAGTGATCTCAAGTGAGCTAACTCCAGGCATTCCAAGCTGGAGAAAGCCCCTGGCTCTCAGTCTTTGTAGCAATTTACTATGCTGACACTCTGATCACACATCTTCAGGCTAATTACTCCATTCACTCAGCATCCATCGCTTGTGCTCTAACAAGACCTCCTTAAACATCACTGGGACTGAACTTGGCATCAGAGCAGGCATGGCAGCAATACTTCCACAGAAGATAAATGTTTCCCTGGGTACAAACTCAATAATAAGTGAAACATTTGACAAAGAAAAATGCCTTTGGCAGCACTACTCAATCTCTCTAAGAAATTGACAGTGTGGAGAATAGGCGCAAAGCCCAGATAATGACAGCTACAAAATGCTTTTGTAAGCAAAGTCATCAGCCCCATGTCTGCCGGTCTCTCTTTTCATGATCTCTTTCCTGGACAGTTGGTGAAAATCTGATCAATGAGATATTTTTCAACACCTATGGCAAATCATCAGTCAGTACAAGGTGATGCTCAACTGCAGTGGTTTGGAGGAAAAAAAAAAGATGAGAAAGCAACCCCTGGTTTGAGGTGAATATTACATAGGGTTGATCAGGACTTTGAGGACCCTTTGATCAGCAATTTCTCATCCAGCAGAATTCAGTCACTATTTGCTGTAAGCAGCTTTGCTCAGCTAATTTATCCACCACATAGAATCTCAATGCATTTGTGTCTAGGCTGATTTTAGGGATGGGGAAGGTCTGGAGATGAATGTTTGGGTGATTCCTCTACACGTTAAACATTTCACCTATAAGTTTGGAGGGGTTTGGTTACAGGTAAAAATCATTCTTATTCAATCTATTTACTAATTTAGAAATTTTTACCTTTCAATACATAGAATGGCCAGACTCTGGTTTGGTCCCAGTGAGGTCCCCCATAACGTGAGTGGTTCACTGCTAATGAGGGAACATGTTACATGCATGCCACTTCCATAGAGGATGATGAGCTATACAGAATCAAGATAAAGCAAGAAGATCTTCCAAGTGGGTCTAGGGCACTTAGGGTAGAAATTAAACATTAAGAAGAGGGCTCCTGGGATGTGGTGGTATTTGAGCTAGTCCTCCAGGAAGGTGGGTATTTGTAACCATTGGAGAGGGCAGATGTACAATGATAATGGAAAATACTGGGGAAGAGAGGCTTCTCATTGGGATGCTTAGGAGGTTTTGGTTCTGTTATGGGAGGAATTCCTAGCTCTAACATTTGTGGGGGCCCATATGCCCTTATTCATAGTAGTCTGATGGGGT